GATAGCAGAACATAAGAGCTGGTTTCGCGTCCACCGAGAAATGAGCCTGAATACAGGGCCCTACTAAAACATTCAGCGGTGGCCGTACATGCGCTAGAGGCAGGACACGCGATTGATTGGGACAATGTCGAGATACTTAGGAGGGGATAACCAGCAACAAACCAAAGGTTGATTGCTGAGGCGACCGAGATTACTAAGACTAATAACTGTGTGAACAGAACAGACGGGGTGGAGTTATCGAACGCGTGGCGGGCTGTGTTAACACGGTCAGTCAGAAAAGGTGTCGGCGGACGAACTCAGGTCGGAGCGTGAATCAGCAGCTGCCAGAAAGGAATGCCTCACATGTGAACGACCCGTGACGTGGATCAATGAGGAACGCTCGCTGCTTGTTGTTTCACTAGCACGGCCACTTGACCTATTGACCTGTAACACTATTATCTAATGCTTCATGTTATGACTTGCAACCTTCCCATAAAAAGCTAAGCCAATTTTGTACCAATTCACCTGGCCTGAAGAAGCTCTTGTGTCAAGGGCGAAATGTTGCCACAATAAGACCATACCAAAACCGATTTGTATTCAAAACCTTCTGAAATCATTTGTAGACTTTTATTAAAGTTGAATGATTTCTGTAACCATTTGCATAATCTGACAATATTACGCTTTGACACTACAGGAAGCCCCACCATTTTAGTTATGGCTGACGTGTCTGTACTAACAGGTCAAGCTTCTCTTGAACTTACTGAGTACTCAACTTCGACTGGTACGCGCTACATATTTTTGATCAGTAAAGGTTTTTCTTTGAGTCTACAGAAAAAACAAAATGAACTTTAAAATATTTTACAAATGGCTACTGATTAACTTAGACGGGGTAAAGTGGATAGGTTTGTATTGTGCAGGGAAACTTAACACAACTTTTTGGATATATTTTTTGATGTTATTTGTAACAAATTGCGTTAACTAGCATTATATAACATGAGTTAATAGTTAAAGACTATAGTACATACAAATTGCGCCAATAAAGATTTTCTTGTTTTCGGCAAATAATCAAAACATGCGCTATTTCAGATTGACTTGCGAAAAATGCAACAAAATTACAAACGCAAAACGACAACCAGATATTCACCGGAAAACTTTGAAAATGCTAGAGACCTGGTGGAAAAAGGAGCCACGACAAAGGAATTTTTCGAGAAAATTCCGTACGAGATGTTACGAAAGTAGATTGTTCAATCTATCAAACGAGTTGGTTCCGGTCGGCTTCCTCTACTTTCTGTTGATGAGGAGAGAATAAGCGTCCGCAGCTTGTGCTATTTATCAATCCTGGACTAGAGGTGGTCCTGCATGATCACGTTTTGTCGTCAAAAAATCAGGATGAATGGAGGACTCCGTTTTTGAATGCTGGCTCGTGCATTGTATTCAAGGTGCAGCACATGTGGAGAAGCCTATTGTGCTTATTTATGGACATGTCAGCCACCTCAGTTACAAAACAATAAAGTTGACCATAGAAAAGAGCATGATAATAATGTGCCACCAAACACTAGATATGCACTTCAATCATTAGATGTCTATGTATTTAGACCTTTAAAGTTGGTCAGAAAGTCTATTCTCAAGAAGTGGTTTCGAGAAAGCAGACTCCAGAAAGTTAGCAAGGAAGACGTTCTTCCTTGGTCAAGCAAATGTTTGACTGAGTGCCTCAAAAAATATCAGTGGATTCAGAGGCAGTGAGATCAATCCAGTTAGTAAAAAAGCCACTCAGCACAGAATTGAGACTTCTCTGGGGATACTCAGACTGTTATTCCAGTCACAGAAGTAGTGGAACCAGAAGAACAAAGAAATGTAGTTGGTGATGCTCAACCAAGCACTTCTGATACGCAAATGCCTGCTTCGAATGAAGTTGGACTATCACTGTTGAAAGTGTTACAGCAAGCAATAATCAGGACGATTTCATCGAAGTGTTTGCCCATAAACTTTTGTAAGCCATGGGCACTGCCCGTAAAGAAGAGAAATAGAGTTCCATGCAATGCCTGGAGAAGTACTGATATCAGAGCAGGCATCAGTCAGGTTGCTTAACGAAGAAAAGGAAAAAATGCTAATAAATCGAGGAAGAAAAGTTCAGAAATGCGAATTCTATCCTTAACTTCCAGACGGATATGGAGCACACTGGAGAAAGTAAACAAATGAGCAAAGATGAAGATACATAAACTATCACCGTTGGGGACTGGGTTTCAGTTAAATATAAAGCTAAAAAGACTGTATACAAGTTCTTGGAGCTTGTTATTGAAATATAAGACGAAGGCTTGTACATGGTGAAATGCTGGACTAAGTCAATGACTGGATCCTACTATGTTTTTCCAGAGAAAGATCACATTGATGAGATTTCAGTTGAAAGTACCCTTAAAAAGATGGCACATCCTACTTGAAGTAGTCGAGAACAATATACATGTGGTTAGGAATATGCTGGCAGTGAAATGTTTATGCCACAGACACTACTGACAAACACCGTTGTATAACGATTATATATTTTTGCGGTAACACTGTTTACAAAAAGTACCTTGATTTCATAAATTTTGTCAATATCATGAGCCTGCATAAAACTTGTTGACTCCATTATTGGATTATTTTACTGCAAGATGACATTCTTACTGGTGGAAGGCGATATACCCATTTTACCCCGGGGTATACCCATTTTCCTTGGCCATGGGGGAAAATGGGCAAAAGCTTAACTCCACATTTTAAACACAAAATAAATTCAATGACCTGCTTATGCCTAGTTATAAGAGCTATGACGTAAAATTTTAATAAAATATATTGACAATTCGCTTAGAGCTAACGAATGAAAACGATGCCTAAGTTAATCCCAATTTTATCCCGGGGTTAACCTCGTGTTGCCCATATGTTTTAAATCTGTCAGTCGGCTAAGCTGCAAAACGTCCGCTCTAGAATGAAAAATGGTCATTTGCAGACGAAGCGTGACACAGAGCATCTCTGACGCACCTCACTTGCCGAGGGAAGCTCAGAAAAAAACCTTCAGTTCATCATTAATTGCATCCTCGGGTCGTGGATGAGAGTCATTAGAATCGAAGGGCACTTCTGGTAGGCCCTTCAGGCTAACAACATTAACTGAATGAGAGTTAAGAAAAACGACCATAGTAGGCCATCTTTCTGCGGGTTATAGTACGAGTTCATGTAGAGTAAGCTTGAGCTTAATGCGACTCCCATCGAGTCGGAAACCAGTCAGGAGCTCATCGATCCTATTCTTCTGGATAGGCCACTGCAAGAATACGTCGAGCGCATGTAATGTTCAAAGAGCTGACCATCCTCATAGATAACGAACTACTAAAAGACATGCCAAAATAGAAGAATGCAATATTGTTGTGAAGCTAATACCACGAATATCTTCACCAAATTGTACTTTGTGGACGATCTCCCGGGGTTTCCTGTGGAACCTTAATTACTTAGTCAGTGAAATCATTTTTCGACATGCCGCTGATCACCTGCACTGACAAGGCTTATTTGCAAGCGGGGTTATCGGTGGTTCAAGAACAGGGATATCGCGAAGAAGCCTAACAAACTGAGTCGACACGGATTCCGCGATTTTCCTGAACCATGATATGGTAGTTCTACACAAAGCGATGGCGTTCTTGAGTACAGCTGTCCTCCTTACTATCAGGTAGTAGTGACTTTTGTGGCTTCTCTACTGCCGACTGGTGGGAGAGTGGTTTAGATGTTTGGTATGTGGTCCATGGGCCATCAGTTCAAGTATGCGTGGAATACTGAGAGAAAATGCAGCGAGTAAAGATGTTTCTGTGTAACTGCGTCTAACATTTTTCATGAAAATCTGCCTATGATGATCGTGATTATTCGTGAAATCTCAAATCGGCAAAGTGTGAGTCCAGGAGCTACTTAAACTCCGACACCGACTTTGCTTCGACTATGTCTGCAGGCAGGTTGTTCCAAATATTCACCACGCTCCGCTCGAAGCATAGTTGGTGAGCGACCCGCTTCAAATCCGGTACGACAAGCTTGTACCGGTGTCCTCGTGTGCTGCTGGGTGTGCGCAGATGCAGCAGCGGCCTCAACATGGGGTATTCACCCAGATGTAATATCCGGTGCGTCCTGATAAGGGTGTACAACCCTAGTCTCTTGCACCGGTCTTCATATGGCACACCTCGTAAACCGGGGATGAGCCTTGTGGCAACATACTGTACCCACTCAATCCTTTGCACCGCGCCCCCAGTGAGCGGACAGTAGGCGGGTGACAGGAGACTTCGTGTCATCCCAACCCCCACGCAACCGACGCAACAGGGAAACCTTCACGTTTCGTTAGATCAAGTTTTCACCATCGGTCCTCAATGGCTGTTGACTTAAATGATCCTGGTAACGCGAGAGATGGTACTTGGAAGCAAGTCACGTTCGAATAACTTGCAAACGAAATCCAACACACTTTGAGACGCTTAGTTGGTTGGATAATCCAAATCTGAATAGCGCCAAAGCGGATAAGAAACAGGTGATGTGTATGGGCAGCACATTTGTGCACATGCGACTAAATAGTTTGGATATTTGCCATCTTCGGCTGCATGGTGGTTAGATTGTGTGGGCCATATATTCCCGTCCACAACCCCACGGATAAAACTGAATGCAAAACCCGGTGCAAAGTAGAACACGGAGATTAAATCAACACCGCAAAGCTGCCCAGCGAATACCGCTCGAGTAATGCTGCCGAACACAGAGAGCGGAGGATAGCCTGAATTTCCCGTTCATCAATAGCAATGGATCATTTTCAATTGTAGATGAACATGGGTGGAAGCTTTTCGATTAACACTCGAAAATTCCTCTAACTTCCATTCCCATTGGGTATAGATTTGAGTATATTTCAAATCGAAAGCAGTGATGCTACGTAGTGCGATCAACAAAGTGCGAGGCAGAAGGAAACCGATGAAATGTCAACGCATGGGACGAATAAAGACAAATGTAGCAAAGTAATAGGGCAAAAAAATGCGCACCTTTCAGAACGATTCCCCAGGCTTCCTCCTTAACATTAGGGAATAGGTTGCTCCATTCACTAGAGATAAGATCAAGATGAGAGGCGAATTGAGAAACTCACTGTAAAACGCTAAAAAGGATGTCAAACGTCCGCAGAATATAAACATGTCCTTCGGTGATGAGGATGTGGTGGCATTCTGAAGAGATGAGAAAAAAGACAAGGATGGAAGTTAAGTGACAGAGCAGTTGCGTGAAAAGAGAGTCCACAATAGTCCGAGTTCTTCATAAATAGATAAAAAGCAATAAACCGTGGGGTTGCATAGTTCCAGGTGAAATCAATGAGCCAGTGTCCTAAACGGAATGCTACTGCTTGAAAGGGTTGTGCTAAAAAAGTTGAGTATTCATGAATAACACCACAGTCCACACGGAGACACTGGGCTCCTACGCAGCATTCACCACGACTGGCCAACATGATTTCAGGGTAAAACCATAGGGGAAGAGGGGTATGGGCGTAAATAGTAGCAAGTAATCTGAAATTAATAATTGGGAAGGGGAAGCTAGCGATAATGCAATAAAAGAAGACAGAACGCGAGGTGGCCTTAGTGAAGATGTTACTGTTTAGTTACCTACGCGAGATGGAATGGTATTACAGCAAATTTGACACGCGCATCGAGTCTAAGAAAGTAATCCAGTTAAGGATTATGCGGAAGGTGTTGGTGCGGCCAACCAACCCAGAATAACCTCTCAAGAATGGTCCCATTATTTGGCATGCGCTGCGCCCCTTCAAAGTACAAAGTGCTGCAGCACGACGACCAGCCACTTGATGACCACCTGACAGCGAGGAACTCGAGGTATTTTACCCCTTCACTTACCTTGGCAGCCGCGTCAACAACGATTAGCCCATAAGTACTGAAGTCAGTTCGCGCACTGTAAAAGCTAAAACTGTCCTCATGGATATGAGACATCTTTGGCGTTATAAAAGAGTTTCTCTCGGTCTGAATGGACGTAGTTACAAGGGCACAATGAGGGCCGTGCTACTAGACGGAAGTGCGATTTGGCCTCTTCGACCTGAGGCACCTTCAAGTCTTTGATCATTGTTGTGTGGTGTCGGGGGGCACTAATGTGTCCGCAACGATGATGCGCGTTGGCGAATGCTGGGAGGTCATAAACAGCCTAGTTCTTTAGAACAATAGATAGCATTGAATAAGCTGCGTTGCATTGAGCGCGTACTACGTAAGCCCGGTAACCGCTTACCGAGGGTAGCTTGTAGAACCCGAGATGGGCAAAAGTTAACTTAACAGCGGGAAAGTGAAGCCTTTAACTACAAAACCTGGTAGCGTTGGTCCGTCTCGTCTTCCAAGCTGAAGTCCACATGACCCACCTTGCATTTGACTTGAGAGGATACAGGACATGGTTCGCAGTCGGCACCAGTGGCGCATCTGCTGCCGTCACATAATCGGACTAGCTGTTTAAAGTGATGATTTATCTGCGGGATAATGGCTTATTAAGATGTGATGCAGTGAAAACCGCAAGAAAGCTGTCACGCTGATGCCACCTTATCTTTGCATGATAGTCACAAGGTATAGGCGTTTTGACCCTGAATGTTTACTTAGGACATCGAGGGTTTACGTTAAGTCTCCTTTTTCTCCCTCTTATTATTCCTCGTCAATATAGTAGGGTCGAATACTAATGGAATGTAAAGTGGAAGCAAGAAGAAAGTGCATTAAACTAATCAGAATGGGATGAAAATGAACAATCAGATACGAGAATGTAGGAACGCCACTGACTATATGACTAACCCAAGTCTGATAGGGACACCAACCATTGGTATAGATAATCCTGAGGCCCGCATCCAGGAAGACGGCATGCACCAGCCGGATCAAGTCTCTCAGTCAATTTCTTCATGTCTCCATGCCACGCCATGGATTGACCATCACGTGATTTCACCCACTTGGATGCAGCCATGGCGTATAATGCACGCAGAGGAGGCCGGTCAACGGGCAGGCAGAGGACATGGCCTAGTCCAGGCCACTCGACTGAGGAATCAGAAAGATGCTTGCTAAAAAGGAACTAGCGGAACTCAGGCTTTCTTAACCGGTGTTCCAACCAGACGTAAGCAATAGTCCGAAAGCACCGGTGGCCAAACACGGCCAACCGTTTAATGTCTTCGCCGCGAACTGTCCCCATCTTTGATACATGTAGTAATACCTGACTTACCGCAGCGCTAGACACACCACCTTTCACTATAAAGCTGATATCCGCCATCTCCACAGATGGTTGAGTCTATGGAAACCCATACGGGCCTTGCGGATACGCGAAGTAATTTCCACAGTGGTATGACCACCAGAGGTGACAAAGCTACCAAGGTAAGTGAACCGATCCACCACTTTCAGTGGCTGTTCTGTGATAGCTATAACCGGTGTCGATCCAGTGCTAAAAGCAGTAGTTTGCACTCTGAAGGCGTAAAGCCCATACCGAAGCGTGCAGCCCTACGCGTAAGTCGATCCGGTAGTGTTTGCAAAGCCAGTGCGTCAGACCCAAGGAGAGTCTTATCGCCCGCATGCTCCAGGTTTCTGTCGGTCACCTGGCAGAACTTCCACTCCAAGACAGTGAGAGAACGGAGTCAAGCATGATCATTTCAATAATAAAATTGAAAAGAAGATATAGGACAACCTTGGTGAACCCCACTTGTCGTGGGAACTCAGGACAGTTTCCCATAAACCTTTACACGGCCTCGGGAGTCACGGTAGTGACTGCATAATGGAAAAAAATCTAGCCGGCACACCTTTCATGAAGAGACATTACCACAAGCTGACGTGGCCAACAGAGTCGAAGGCGGCTTCCAAATCGAGGAAAAACAACATTTTCAGTCATCGGTATGTGTGTTACCGCTCTAAAACTTGGCGAAGAGAAATTATGTAGTAGATACAACCATGACCAACCAGCCTGGTTTTCAGTGATTCGGTTATCACAGGGACCAGTAAGTCGTCGGAGAATGATACCCGTGAGAATTTTAGAGGCAACGTAAACAAAGTTGATGCCTCGATGATTTTCAAACAAAGTGCGCTGACCCTTCTTGAAGATAAGTACGACATTTGACAGTCACCAATCTGAAGGCATTAGTTTGTCTTCCAAATCGTCTTAAATAGAGAAGCGAGTCCAGTCAAATACCATCAGCAGAGATGAAGAAAGATCGTCGGGTTCAGGAGCCTTTTTCATCCCAACACTAAAAGCACATGTCAAGTCTCTTCCAAAGTGGGGAGTGTAATACCTACTTCCCACGTCGGGTCAGACGATTCGGCAAGCGGCAGTGTCGCAGCAGGCCTGCTGAATTACTCTCCAAAATTTTTCGCCCAAAGGGCTGGTCGACGACGTTGAGAATGGATGAACTGTCTAACTTTTTCAGCTATTGTCTCGCTAACTGATGGCATTCTCGGACCCGTGTCTCGGATGAGCTGAACTAACACCTGGCTGTTTCTAATAGTGCTAACAATGCTAACTTTCTCCATCGCACGGGCCTTTGCAATCCAGCAACATTCCCGGATAACTCGAAGACTTCTTGGCAGATGTCGTTTCAGGGAGTTACGGAGACGCTGAAAATCAGTGCCCATCGGAACCTGTTTCCGTGCTTTGATCGAGCTGATAGATGCCTCAGAGATCCATAAAATTATGACGTCTCAGGTTGAGTGCACAGCATGCGTCAAAGGCATTCTTCGTGGAACACTGGAGATGATCCCAGTCAGCGTTCGGCCCATCAAACGCATTCATCACTGAGAAATTGCGGGCTAGTTCGTTAGGATGTTTTTGAGCCGCAGATTGCGAGTTCAAGCTAAGCTTTTAGTAGGTTAAAAGGTAGGCGCTTCTTCAAAGTGGGAAGTGAGAGTCAACCGTGCACTATAGATATGGTGTTTGTGGCTTGTCAGTTGCAGGAGAAGTGCAGAGAACGACACCAGCCGTTGTACTCGCTTCTTGTTGATTTCACAAAGGCATTTGATACGGCGAGGCATTGTGGCTCGCGTTGGGCAAGTTTGGTTGCCCGTGAAAGTTTGGAACTTTAGTTGGATGTCTGCAGTGGTATGCGGGCGAGGGTGCAGCTGAGTGGAGAGAGCTCGGAGGACTTTGCAGTTGTCACTGGTGCGAAGCAAAGCTATTTCTTAGCTCCTGTCCTGTTTAATATTTATCTTCATGCAATGTCTTGTGCTTTTGATGCGGCTTGTGCTTACGGTGTTCGTGTGGAGCACCGTATTGATGGTGGGTTGCTGAACATCCGTCGTTTCGGTGTGAGAACCCTAGTCTGTGAGACAACTATCCGTATGTTGCCGTTTGCTGACGACTGTATGTTGTTTTCACACAGCGCGGATGAGTTGCAGCACATGACTAGTGCTCGGGCTTCGACAGCCGCCAAATGCGGGCATAGCATCAACACAAGCAAAACTGTCTGTCTCTTTCAGCCTTCACCGGAGATGCAATCTACAATGGTGCTGTGAACCAGCATTGGTGATGATGCACTGAAAACCACCTCCCGCTTCTGCTACCTTGGGAGTGTGGTATCGACTGACCAGCAGCTGCACAGTGAGCTTCATATCCACCTCTGGAAGGCAGCGGGGGCATTCGGGAAGCTACAGTACTGAGTGTGGAACATTCACCATCTTACCGTCAGCACGAAGCTGATGGTGTGCAAATTCATGGTGCTGTCCGTTCTTCTATACGTACGTGAAACGTGGACGATGTACCGCCGGGATGTGCAATCTCTCGAGCGGTTCCATCAACAGTGTCTGCGACGGATACTGCGCATCGGTTGATGCGACAGAATTGCGGACACGGAAGTGTTGCGAAAAAGTGGAATGTATGCAGTGGACTGCATACTTTTTCCGAGTCACCTGAGGTGGCTCGGTCATGTGAGCCGTATGCATTCGACGCGGATACCGAAGCAGCTATTATATGGTCAGCTGAGTGTTGAGAAGCGGCATGTGGGGAACCGAAGCTTCCTTACCAGGACATGATCAAAGTGAGCCTCTCACGTTCTACTCTTGATTGCAGGTCAGGGGAATCGAAGCGGTTGATCGGCGTGCATGGCGCGATCTGATCACGAAAGCCGTTGCCAAGGTGTAAGAGAAAGGCCTCGTGCATCCAGAGAAGAAGTGGCAATTACCGAAACCACATGCGCCGATGGGTTGTGCTCCATTGACATCGAACGCATGGTGCTGTAGCACATGCGGCCGCACGTACCTGAGTCAGGCAGGCCTAGTGAGGCATGAACGAGGCCACTCGGGGCCACAACCGAAACGACGACGAGTCCTGCAGAGAACGTAGACAGAACCGGCGCATCATTTGTAGGTACATTGTATTCGATTTACTAACCGCGCGCTTGCATGCTGAGTCACTTTATTTCAGGTGGTGGGTTTGCTATAGTGTCTTAATGCCTTTTATCTCATATTAATGTCTACCTGAACTATCTTCCATAAACCTGCACACGTTGCTTAAGCTAACTGTAGTTAAGTTCGATAACAATTTCGCGGGTGTGGCATTTGCTTAGTATATGTCTTCTGAACTATTGAACATTTCGCGGATTTGTTGGCAACCAACTTATTTCATAGACTCATTTGGTGAAGAGTTAACCATCGTATCTGTATGCATTATTCGATTTGTCTTATTTGATAATGTTATTTCAAGTGATCGTATGTTGTTTGACATCCCCGGTGTGGCTGCGCTTGATTTGCTTGTTGACAAGGTGTCTACCTGTCTATTACCCACTACCTCATCCATACTGGCTCTCGGAGACAGTTGGTCGTTGCTGGAGGGGACGGGGTGTACGGTCCCTGTGGCCGCCCTAGGCTCGAAAAGTGGTTCCATGCACTCAGTGTGGAGCGGACTACAGTCCAGCCACCGCATTGGGTGCGAATGATTCTCCAAATACAGCGTGCTTGCGTTTCCCTGTGAAGGAGGGTGGGGTGCCTTCGTTGACGAGACGTGGCCCCCATCCACATGCGGCCCGGTCATATTCCTTCGGGTTTACACTGGATATGTGTTGTGTGGTTGGAGCTGTGGGTAGTGCAGCGCAAGGCACCCATGGTCCCTCTATAGGCGCAGGCGTCTTGTGGCTGACCACAGTGACACGCAAATTCGAAAACGGATGCCGCCAACCACATATATATATATATATATATATATATATATATATATATATATATATATATATATATATATATATATATATATGGTATTAGCAAGCAAGTTGCTAAAGGGCAGGGCCGGTGCCGGACGCGGTTCCGGAAGAACATGTCAAAAGGTGCTGGCAACGCAGTACGTGCAGCTAAGCAATGAGACTCGGTGCTCATAATGCATTAAAGAATGTGAGATAGCGGTACACTGTTGTAGGAAATCAGACATCCAAGTTGGTGTAAAATTAGTTCATAATAACATTCACGGACGGTATCAATGTGACCTACTTGGTAACTGATTCCGTAAGTGTCGCACAGACAAAACTTCATTGACGACATAAGAATTTGGAGTCGCGCGTTTTAATAGATCGCTTTTAGCGACTGGAATGACAAAGTCCGGCATATCAAAAGCTAAAATGACCAAGTGATGCGTTAGAACGGTAGAAAATTTTGAAAACAAGAACGAACAGCCAACATAAAAGTGACAGAACAACAAAAAATAAAATCCAGAGGATAAGAAGTAAATCCGAAAGAAAACGCCGGCTGATATAAGAGCAAACAAGATTTTAGAGGTAAAAATTTGGTTGTACACAAGATTACAAAATGATTGGAAGCACGGCTCACACAAAGGGAGTACCAATAGCACCGACTCCTGGCAAGAACGGGCGCAGGGACGAAACATCCTCAGTTCGGCCCGAACAGATGAGAGTTGAGGAGGAAAACGTGGTGTTAATGTGGTTGCAAACAACAATGATATAATATATGGCGCGATAGGTAAGGATTAGGTCACCTGAAAACGTCTGTAGTGCATGGAAAAGTTGTTCAACTTCAGTAACCTCTCAGGGTATGACAGCCTCCTTATTTGAAATACTATTTTCGTTCGAGACTGTAAGGACTCGTTCAAATGCCATGTTGCCCCGGACAAGCCTGTACGTAATATTCTAAGCGCGGCCTAACAAAGGTGCAAATAATCTTGTGAACAATTGGCTGTCATGATCCCGAATAACCCGAGAACCACCGACAGCCTGTTGAAACCTTTGCGAACAGTTACCATCCAATGTTCACGAGACTTAAAATTAGACGACAGCAAGGTACCTAGGTCAGCTTAAAGTGGCAGCCGCGACACTTGATTAGCCCTAAGTAGATGATGTGTCGTTAGGTCATTTTATCCTACTCGCAACACTGGACATTTAACGAGATTTATGGACAGTTGCCACAAGTCACATAGTCTATCTAGAGCCTTTTGTAGGGCCAGTGGTTTACCAGGTTCATTCACTGTGGACCAGAAGTTTGTCATCCACGAAAATTAGGTATGGGTCTCCCAGTTCGTCGGGCAGGTCATTAAGGAACAAAGTGAATAGCAGGGAGGCCAAGGACCGACAACTGCGAAACACCAATGCGAACACACTGATGTGAAGACAGGCTAGAACCCACACAAACACACATCTTCCTTCTGGTTAAGAAACCTGAAACGCTTTGCAAGATTGGTCTAGAGATGCCATAGGCCTGCAGCTTGTAGAGAAAGCGAGAATGTGGAACGGTGTCAAAAGCTTTGGAAAAGTCGAGGAACAAGACGTCCAGTGTCTTTTTCTTGATCAACCGCTTTGGCCCAATGTTCGCAGACCACTAACAAGTTGGTAATGCAAGAATAGCCCTTAGGAAAGCCGTGTGGGAGGGGCTGAACATCTGAACAGCACTTAAATGGCTTTCAAGGGCATTCCTCACAAGTTATTCCAAGAGCTTGACCAACACGCTAGTTAGCCTAACAAGTCTGTAGTTCTCAGATAAGTGTTTGCCATCTTCTATTTAAACGGAACATAGAACAGTGTTTTTCCAGTCGTTTGGTAGAGAACAGATGTGCAGTAACTTCTCATACAGTCGCGTAATTGGACAGCAAAGATCAGTGCTAGCTCATACAAGAGTTTGGGATGGAAAGCGCCCACTCCGAATTTAGCTCTCGTAGTAGCTTGAGAACCTGAGGCTCCGATATAGAAACCTCCTCCAGATAAGTGTCCATAGGAATTTTTACCTTCAAACTAATATGCGGCAGTGGGAATTCCGGACATGCACGCCTACATACTGTCCCCTAGGCAAAGAAGCTTTATCAAGATCAGTGACAGTAGAAGAGCAGTCGGGAGCGAACAACACCGGGAGGGAAGAGTTCGTGTTGATTCGTCCTTTGATGTAAGCAAAAGCGTTTTTGGTTTGAGGAGGCTGCAGCTGCGAGATCGATTTAATGTTGTAACCGAGCACGACGCAGATATTGCTTGCAGACATTTCGAACTTCTCCGTACTTGTAAAAGGTGCATGCTGAAGGAGCAGACAGATAACCATGTCAACACCTGGTCTGTCTGTTAAGCAGCCATCGCGCCGCGGAATCAAATTAAGGTGGCGTCGCTTCGATTTTATTCCTCACAGAAATTGGTATGTGAGGGAGAGAAAACTGAGATAAGTAGAACTTGAATATGTCCCAGGCTGCCTGTCAGTTTCCGAAATGACGCAAGGTACGTTTGTGGCCTGGTTTCAACGCCAGAAAAGCAGCACGCTTGATCTTAGGATGGTGCGGTCATTGGATACTCCATTAAGTGCGCAGGCATGCCTGTCAACCATAACGGACATGCATGGTCCCTAACACCCAGAAATTAATCGCATTCAAAGTCTCTGACAAAAGCAATCGGCTTAGCGAAAACCAGATTCGAGAGTGACGGATTTCGACCTACCAGAAACCTGGTTGGCTGGTCAACAAATTAACGTAAGGGAACATAAAGGGCCAGATCAAGCTCAATGCCAGGGCGTGCAATCGTGGATGCACCGAAAACTGCGTAAACCAAAAAGGAGATAAAAAAAAGAGTAATAACGGTCCAAAACGGACACGGCGATGTCCTACATCACCATCAACAACAACGACAACAACAACAGTACATCAGTCATTTGAATTGATACTTCGCTGCCATCCAACCATGAGGACCTACGAAATAAAGAATAAGAAGAGGGAGAGAAGGGGGACCTACCTGAAAACCTTAATATCCTAAGCACACATTCAGGGACAAGGCGCCTACACATTGTGTAGACAACATACCGTCACAAACAGCTGGCTATCGTGCAAAGATACGGCGGCAGCGGCCATACAGCTTCTTTGCGGCATTCAATGCTCCGCGCCATAATCAGCCCTTAGCCCGCAGATAACTCAGCACCAAACACACTTCAAACAAACAATCCAACTGGTGTCGCTTGCGAGCTATGACCTGTAAACTTTCGAGCCAAGCACAAGGCGGGTCAAGTGGACTCCAGCCCGGAAGGCGAGACGGACCAACGGCACCCAGTTTGGTCGTCAGTGACTTCATTTCCCGCTGCCAAGTCAACTTCTGTCCACCTCGAGCCTTGCGCCACCCTACACCTTGCAGATTAAACAAGGCCTTCCTAGGTAAGCGGTGAATAGGCACAGGTAGCACGCGCCTAAACCAACGTATCTTATTAAGTGCTATCCGTTGTTCTAAGAAACTAGCATGATTATCCCCACCTAGTACTCGCCTACGCACATCATCATTGCGGACACGCTGGTGCCATCCGATATCAGCAATACTTCGCAGACAACGAGGATCAAGGACTTGAAGACGCCTCAGATCTTCGGACGGAAGAGGCCGTTTCACTACAATAGAGCAGGACGGCCCTGTGACCCTGTATACCCGGCATTTCAGACGGAGGGAAACTCACTTCTGTCGTCAAAGATGCCACAGGTTCAAGAAGACAGTTCTGACCTTTGCAATGCGTGAACTGAGTTCAGTTTCTAAGTGCCCATCGTTGTTGATGCAGCCACCAAGGTAAGTGAATTGATCAACCACTTCGAGTTCCTCGTCAACAAGTCAAAGGTTCACAAAGTGGCTGATGGCCTTGCAGCAACACTTTGCACTTTGAAGGTGCGAAGCGCATACCGAATAATGGGACCACACTAGACAGGTTATTCAGGGTTGATTGTGCCGCCGCAACATCGTCGAAAAGCAAGACGATATTGTTCGCATAATCAAGATCAAATAACCTTCCACCAAGATAGGACTTAAATGCCTACATCCTGAGATCCCGCAAGGGAACACTCCATGATAGAATCCACGACGAAGTTGAACAAAAATGGGGAAATCGGACAACCCTGACGAAAGCCACTTGTGGTCGGAAATCTATCCGACAGGTCGCCGTAGACCCTCACGCGGCCTGTAGGGTTCGAGTATTGAGCACGTAAGATGTACACATTTCGAGCGAAACACCTTTCCCCGCAAGTATTTCGAACAGAATCGATCGATCGACTGAATCGGAGGAACTCTTGATATCAAGGAACACAGCTATTGTCGGTCTGCGGTATGCGTGACGCTGCTCTAGCACCTGCTGCAAAGTGAATATATGGTCTATACAGCCACACTATGGGCGAAAACAGACCTGCTATGTCCTAATCCGAGATTCCCATTCCACAGTGAGATGAGGAACGAGAATCGAGACCAGTAATTTTGTCACAACTGGCGTTAAGTTAATAGCGCCGTGGTTAGAACAGTCTGTGCGACTGCCCTCCTTGTATAGTACCACTATAACCGATACGCTCCAGTTAGCCGGAATACTGTCTACCTTCCAGGTACGTTCGAATAGGAAGGTTAGTGCTTTGCAGTGGACCTCACCTCCATCCTTAAATAGTTGTCGTGTTCTTTGACATCAAAGAAACCTTCGATTCAGTTGATCGACGTACCCTTTGGGATTGTCTGCTTAGGAAAGGTGTGTCCGAGAAGTTTGTAAATATTATGCGAGCGCTATACGCGCGTAGCTCGGACAGAGTGAGGGTTTACGGCAAGCTGCCGCCGCCATTCAATATCTCCAGCGGTGTAAGACAAAGATCCCGCTGTCACCTTTCCACTTCCACTTCACTATTGACGAAGTCATGGAAATTGCGTTCACAATGGACGACTTGGAAGGTGTGGAGCTACAGCGAGGTGAACGACTTCTTGACATAGAGTACGCTGACGATATCGCCCTCATTTGTGACAGCTCACAAGCGTTAAAGCGGCACTGGACAGATTAACATTGGCTGTCGCCGGTTTCGGGCTATGCTTTGCATCCTCAAAGTGCAAAGCTTTCTACAAGGATTGACAGGGAACGCCTCCTGCGCTGACTCTTGATGGGGAAAAGCCAGAAGTCGTTCGGAAGTTCAACGAACTCGGCAGTTGTATCAGCGCCGCTGGAATTGAAGAAGAGGTCACAAACCGTATAACAAAAGCACGAGGCGTCTTTGCTAATTTTTGCCAGCAATGGCACCGGCGCGACCTCATCCTGGCCCTGATGGATAGATTGTACAATGCAGCCATACGTTCGATCCTAGTGTACAGTTTTGAGATCTGGCCCATTAGACCAGCCGACATAAAGAGGCTAGTTACT